GGAAGCTTCCTTCATAATAATTCTCAGTGTTTTGATTCACAAGAGAAATGATGAACTTCCATAGAGTTAGGACTAGAAGAATCTGGAGAATGAGCCTTGTCAGCGTGACTGCCATTTTAAAACCACCAAGCTAGTAACAAGAGATCAGAAACAATGGTTGCTATACCTTAACCAGCTGGAGAAATAAGCATAGAAGCAGGTAGGGGCCCACCTCATGTCTCCTTCCCAATCAGTAGTAGTACTGGAACATCTAATGGGCAGACACTGAGATCCTTATGGGGCTTATATGAGAAGGAGTTAGGGCGCGAGAGCATTTGGGGCTAAGTCCTAGAACTGCAGGAAGCAATGGCAGCAGAGGGGAGACTAAGCTGGGTGCTGAGCAGAGGGAGAAGGGAGGCAAGAGAGAGGCAGGTGTGCAAATCCTGGCATGGCAATATGACACTGAGTCTAGTCAGTGCCTTAGAGGGAAAGTGATGGGGCAAAAGAAAAAATAAATGGGGGGGCGAGATTGTTTCTTTTTATTTTTTGAAGACGTTTCAACTTTATTCAACAGGGTGGTAGTTATGGTATTGCTATTTTGAAGCATTTTGTGATGGTTCTATGGTAAAGCAAGTAAGTTGTTGAACATAAGACAGTATAGGTAAAATAAAATAATTCAAATTAAGAAAAAAAACACAAATTTCCAAATGAACTCTGAGGTTTTGGTTTCTAAATACAATTCCTACTAGAATCAATCAGAGCTCTTTAAAGAATTATATGTTTTATGGTTTGGGCTGGGGCATGTACAAGGTAAACTGGAACATTTTGAGACCAGTATATCAAAGATTATTTAAAGACTAATGGGATAATGTTGAAAGGGATCAGATTTTATAGCATCCAAAGATCAAGTGGGACAAGTTGAGCACCAGAAAGAATAAAATTGAATGCAGTTGAAGCACAACAACTATGTGAGACAGTCGTGTAAGGGACCATCACAGAACAAGAGCAAATCGCGGCAGCCTGTACCGCTGCTTTCTTTGGAGATCAGTTACCAAACTTAGATGACTTACCATTTACCTTTCCCTTCAGGCCTATAGTCTTCTCTTTTCTTTAATTATTGGATTCTTTATTTTTAAAGTTTTATTAGAAAATTAGAAAACAAAGTATATTAAAAAGCAGTTGCCAAGAATAATGGTATTATTTCGTTCAGCATGTCCACCACAACAGTGTCCATGTCTGGTCTCACTGTGCTATTGATCAATGGAATGAAAAAGGAAGCACACCTCCTTCTTTTAAAAGACTAAAAAAAACATTTTCGTGTGTGTGTGTGTGTGTGTGTGTGTGTGTGTGTACCTGCAGAGGCCAAAAGAGGGCATCAGATTTTCTGGAGCTGGAGTTACAGGTGGTTGTGAGCTGCCTGATGTGGGTGCTGGGAACAAAAATCATGTCCCTTGCAAGAACAGCATGCACTCTTGCTCACGGAGTCCCTCATGTACACTTAACACCCATTCTGCATCTTTCAGTTGCACTTGTGGGTAGTCAAATGTCTTTCTAACCTGTGCTAGTTTTTCTAGTACATCTTGGATTTTAAAAATACTACCAATCATTCCTCCATAAAGCTTCTATGAATCCCTGAAGAGCCATCCATCATTTGTGATTTTTCAGTTTCAAAGCATTTATAAGCAATGCCTAAACGTTTTTGAGACTTGCTACATGTGAGAGTGATTTATGTTTATTTTATACATAGTTATGTGACTATCTCATTAGAGTATAAGCCTCAGAGAGTAAAGGTCAATATTTATCTCTTTGCTTCTAGCTCCTGCCCTACAGTTACTTGTAGGTCCTGTCATATTCCTTATAAGAACAGTTAGGCAAAGAGAAGAACTCAGGTAATATTAATTAGGGCTAGAGATGTTGTTCAGTAGTAGAGCACTTGTCTAGTATGCATTAGACTCTGGGTAAGAAAGCTTTGATAGTGCTCTTTGTTTAGAGGATTTAAAAAGTCTGATTTTTGTCTTAGAAGATAGAGAAGTGACCATATAATTATCACTGGATCCTGAGGACAATATCAACTCCAGTTCAAAGTGGAGGTGGGGGATATTATACTTGATATACTAAACTTAAGAGAATCATAACTATAATTAGAGGAAAATACAAATTTACATGGCAAATCATCAATTTATCGAGCAGCAGTTTGGTGAAATCTTTTACTTATTTTGTCCCTAATCTACATGATGTTATTTCATTTAGAAAATGAAGTTAGTTATAAGCACGTTGCCACTGGGGTGTGAAGCATGCTGAAATGGACGTGCTTTCTCTTCTCTAGGTCAGCATAAAGCCAGGGAGTGTGTATCTAATTTCCTCCAGGTGGCTTCGATGGCAGATGTTAATCATGAGACCGTGTCTTTCTTGCAGGTAGAAGGGCTAGGTGCTCTGCAAGCTTGGCTTATTCTCCGCAGCATGCACAGGCAGAATAGGGGAAGCAAGGCAATTTCATAACAGTGTGTTTGGTTCCAGGCAAAACCCCAAGACAATGGGCTCTGTTTCCAAGGTGATGCTCTTATTACAAAGCTGTTCTCTGATCTGGGATTTGGTCACAACAGCATTTTGTTAAGCTGGCTCTGGAATGTTCTTTGGTCCCAGATCCTGTAATAGTTGATCTAACAATAGTTTATGGTATACTGCTTGTATTGCAGGTAAGGAGAGGTGAAAAGCTTCATTCCTTATTCTGACTTGTCCATCTGCTATACACAGCATTAATCATTTTTAAATCTCACTTATCCTCATCTTAAATTTGGGCAGCACATTTTCAGAGTAAGGCTCATTATCTTCGCTGAGTAGACCAACACACTGCAGCTTAGATGATGGGGGGGACTTGCTACAATGTTCTAAAAATTCAACCCAGGGGCTAGAGAGAGGGCTCAGTTGTAAAGACCACTGGCTGTTAGCAGAGGACCACAGTTCAGTTCTCAGCACCCACATAGTGGCAAAAACCATACCTAACTCCAGTTCCAGGGGATATGACACCCTTTTCTGGGCTCCTTAGTCACAAGGCAGGCACACATGTGGTGCACTTACATACATGCAGGCAAAACACTCATATACACAAAAATTTTAAAAATGAGCAAAAATTTAAAAAGTCTTCAAGCCCATTATAGTCCCAAAGGTGTTCTGTTACCCATGTTTCTTCTGATTTCTTTTAATTAGTAGTTGCCTCTTCCTATGAAGAGTTCATTTCACACCTCACTCCTGTTCTCCCCGTCAGACAACAGGACAGAACAAGTCCATGCAACAGACTATGTACTCTGCCTGGGTTTCTTCCAGTGTCTGTACTTCAACTGTTTTTGTTACATGACACAAAACCCATAGAACAGACTCAGGAACCAAAATGTCCTCAGTGAGCCAGACTAGAAATACAAGAGCGGTAATTGTGGTGTCTTGGAAAGCATTTTCTGGAGTGTAGTCTTCTCTGTGCAAAAGGAAATGGAAAGGCTTGTCCACCATGGTTATCAGCCAGCACTGCTGCCTCCTGGGTGACCCAGCCAGTTGCCTGGAATCTACCTAGGGGTTTCTTCCCTCCCCTCACAGGCTACCTCCTCAAAGATGCCAAGTACCATTTATGCTGCTGATGCTACGCTTGGAAAGTTCTGGAATCTGTCTTCCTTCTCTATCATCATTAACCTCTCTTTTCTCACTTTATTGAAATGACTCTCAATTTACATCTCATTTTCCTTTCAATCAATTTCAGTTTTTATTTTACTCTGGAGAATGATGTTTGAGACCCCACAGATTCAGGGAGACAGCTTTATTAGGTAATTCTCCTGGGCTCTTTATATCCCCATCAGCTTTTCCTTAGATGGTAATCAGAGTCCATCTGTGCCAACAGGAGCCCATCAAGCTCCAGAGAAAGCAGACATGCTCAGACTTAGCAGGGAGTCATATGAAAAAAAACGGAGAATTCCAAATTTGTAAAGAAAGCAGCATTTCCTACAGACCTCGAGTGCACTCTTCTAAAACGTGTCTTCTGCTAGTGCAAAGGATCATCCTAGACATGGCGATTCATTCAGTGGAGGGTGTCAAGGCTATCTCTCAGAAACCATTTCAAATGAACTTTGCCCTGCAGCATATTAGACCAAGAAACTCCCAGGCTGCTCTGCATTCCCTCTGCAGGAAAATTCAAGAACTCATCCCTCTTTGTCCAAACATTCATGTCCTTTGTCCCCAGGATATAAATCAGAGGTATTTTGCTTTACTTATGAAGTCATGGGGTCTCGTAGTTTACTGTATATAATTTAATGGGGGCAGGATAATCCTGGGTCCAAAATCCCTTGAAGATCTAACTCCTGTGGGCTCCTAGAAATTTAATCCTTTGAACTGACAAGCATAATTTTAAAGAGAGGCACAAGATCTGTCTCTTACTTGACTTTACAGTTTTATAGGCATCTCTGTTCCAACCCCAACCCCCACCCCAGAATTTGGGGCTCTAGTGGAGACAGGTCTACTTCATGTTACAGGTTACAAAACTACAGGCTTCTAGAGAAACCCTCATCAGTGGGTGTATAAAGCAAACTGCAGCTCTGGTTTTATATCAAAGTGGCTCTTAAGGCCAATGAGGACATTATATACTTTGGGAGTTTTTTTTAAAGGTTCCCAAAGAATGGATTTGCATTTCTACTAAATTTGGAGGTCAAATTTCTCTCTTACATTTCTCCTTCCTCATCTTTAAGAAACTTCATTTCATACAGGAGACACTGCCTTAGAAACAAAGGCTTCTATATGTTGGCCTGTTTATTCTTCTTTAACATGACAGTCCTATGTATGGAAACCAAGATGCAATTTCTCATTTTTCATCTCAATCCTCTTGATAGAAGCAGCTTTTGAAATTGTAGAAAATACCAAGTAAGGGAAAAGTGTAATGTAATTTGCACCCACGACTGAAACACCACAAACATATTTGTCAAGAAAAAACTGTAATGAATCAGACTCCCCCCAAAATTAAAATTCAAAACAATTAGACTTACTCCAAAGTTTGTAGCAGCAAAGCGATCGGAGGCAGAAACCTGCACGTTGGTAGAGACAGTTGTGTGAGCATAGAAGGCGTTGATGTTGGCCAGCAGGGCACTCATGACCGCAGGGACCCCGGGGCACATGTACTTAGAAGACAGACATGAAAAGTGCCTGCAAGGTAGGAAAACACACAGTGCTTCTCAAACAGAACCTCGTCACTTCATGCACCCACCCATCTTCTAATGTCAACAATTAAGTTATTCCTCAACCACATCAATGAAAAGAAGCCAAACCTCCCACAGTCTCTAATTGAAAGAGAAACAATTTCAGCCTTTTGAAAATTTCACATTTGCAAAATGTGAAGTGGCTTAATTAGAAAGTGACTTGTCTCAGGGTTAAGGATAGTTTCTTTTAACTGTGAGGATGCTGGGTGCTTATAGCCAACATGAAACTTCCAATGAAATTCAGTGTGCTGGAGCAATGGCCCATGGTCCCTGTCGCTCCCCCAGCCTGCCTTCACTCACTTAAGTCTCTGAAATGCCACGATCCAGCCCGGATGCTCATTTACTGCTGTGTTTTGCTCACATCATCTTTTATTTTGCAGTAGAGGCCCTGCTTTCACTCCCACTGGTTCCACTAGTGAGCGCCACCCCAGCCAGACCTAAGTGGATCATGTGAGGCTTTCCAGACTGTAAGGCCTTCCTTCTGCAATTCTGTTTTCTTTAAAAAATATATTATTTTTATGTGTATGAGTGTATAGCCTGCATGTGTGTAAGTGCACCTGTGCAATGCCCATGGAGAAGAGGGTGTCAGATTTCCTGGAACTGGAGTTATGGCCAGTTATTAGCCGCCAAGTGTGTGCTGGGAACTGGGTCTTCTGCAAGAGCAGCCAGTGCCCTTAACCACTGAGCCATCTCTCCAGCTCCCAATTCTGTTTTCTAAGCATTTTGTCCCAGGCAGGATTCAATGAAACAAATGAAAGGTGAGCCCAGTTTACAGTATACCACCCCTGTGAGAGAAGACTAAACCTTGAACAAAGGTTTCATTTACAAAATCAAAAACATACATCAAGTGTTCTGTTCTGTCTCTTATCTCAAGAAACTGTTCCATGTGAACTCTAACCAAAGACTGTGAAATTGGCACAGCAGAAAACACCCTCAGTATACAATGCAATCCTGTCTTTGCTCCATGTTTTAATCATTTCCCCTCCACTTAGGCATCTCTGTGTTTTGTATTATTGTCCGACAACACAGGCTATACATTCATGAATGTTCTGAGTGAGGTCCACAAAAGAAGCAGATGTCAGTTCTGGAAACTGTGATCTTTTTTAGCTCAGGGATGGCTGGCTCACTACTTCTTCCTCCATGGATCTAACTAATCAAAGTAGGTTAAAGGTTTGAACATGGATATATTCAGCAAAATGCCACAAATGATAGGAAATTAACATTTTTGATTTCTTTATTTTTATTTTGTATATGTGTGTTTTGCCAGAATATATATATATAAGTGCACCCCTGTTATGCAATGGCCTCAGATGCCAAAAGAGGGCATCAGATCCCCTGGAACTGGCATTACAGACAGTTGTCAGCTACCATGTGGGTTCTGGGAACGGAACTCTGGTCCTCAGCAGTCAGTGATTTTAACTGCTGAACCATTTCTCTAGCCCTGATAGGAAATTATTTTTAAAATAAATTTAAAATCCTCAAAATTAGGTCGTCATATTTGTTTTCTCCCCTCCCCCCACAACAATTTACAAAAATTAGTTTTGCTAGACTCAAATCATAGGTCAAGAGATGTAGATTATTCAGTGTCTAAATACGAGTATTTGGGAATGATAAAAATATATAATATGTATATTACATATCATCACAAACCAGACAAAAACCCAACATAGAACTGGGGAAATAAATAAGAAGCCCCAAACTCAGCTGAGGAACCATTGGCAAATGATGACTGCTGGGTGAGGGAAAGTTGGTCGGGGGGGGGCTATGTGGAGTACAGAGAGGGGGTGGGTCTAAATATGATTAAGATGCATTGTATGAAATGTAAAAATATTCAATAAAAATATATATTGAAAAAAATAAAGAGAAAAAAACACATTTAACACATTTAAGGGAATTCAAAGTCGGAAGTTTATCAGCTCAAGTGGAGGGCATCTGGTGAGTAGCTTAGTTCTTGGTTTTGGGCTATGTGGAGTACAGAGAGGGGGTGGGTCTAAATATGATTAAGATGCATTGTATGAAATGTAAAAATATTCAATAAAAATATATATTGAAAAAAATAAAGAGAAAAAAACACATTTAACACATTTAAGGGAATTCAAAGTCGGAAGTTTATCAGCTCAAGTGGAGGGCATCTGGTGAGTAGCTTAGTTCTTGGTTTTAAGATAACAGCCAAGTCCCTCAGGCTGTATTTCCTTTAGCTTTTCCCTGAAAGTTTTGGTGTGTGATTAAGATAGCAGCAACACCTTACAGTTAGTTATTCAAGCACAGAGGTGGTAGAGTGGAGGCATGTCCTCTGTAAGGAACCCATAGCCTGATTTTTACACTAAAGTGAAAAATGAGTGTTTTAAAATGATCTACTTATTGAGCCCACTTCCTCCACATCTTCCATCTGAGGGGAGAAGGGTGTAACAGAGGAAGACAGGGGCTGAGAAAGAAACCAGCTTTCTGTATTTCACATTGAATTGGTTAATCTAATATTCTCTCTCTTTATTCCTTTATTATATTTTTGTTTATTTCATGTGCATATGTGTGTATGTGTACGAGCATGCCAAGGCATGTGTGTGGAAGTCAGGGAACAACTTTCAGGAGTCGGTTCTCCCCTTCAGCCACATAAGTACTGGGGATTGAACTCAGGCATGTTGGTAAGCATCTTTATCCACTGAGCCATCTCACCGGTCCTAGTTTGATAATCTTAAATGCTGCTGTTAAATTATTAAGTTTCACAGATAAAGTAGAATGTGGTGCATATCATGTAGCTCCATTTTGAAGTATAGATGTACTAATAATGAAAATTCTCAAAGAAATTCATTGTTTGGGGAATCCCAGAGCAGTTTTACAACCTAAATGAGAGTTCTAATAAATAATTTACAGGCTATATATGAGACACAGACAGCTGACACAGCCAAGGTCATGCAAATCCATGAAATTTGGAGTTACTTGGCTTAATCTTTGCTGTCAATTTATCATTAATGTTAATCTATATTAACCATAGGAACTTAGGAACAATAACTCAAATATCTGCCCAAACTTTATGTTTTTCTGTGAACATACTAACTTTAATTTATCAGCAAACAATATAATGCTTTTAATCAATTAATCAAACTTTGATATGCCATCTCATTAACTAAAGTGATAGATTCAAAGGGCCAGTTAAAATAGAATTGATTCTAGACTTTTCCTTCTGTTTAACCTTTAATCCATATGTTATTTTTATTAAAGCTGTCTAGCTAGAACTCTCTCTTTTTACTGATGGTAATTTCTGGCACTAATCTTAGTTAAGGATCTGGAGTTGATTTTAAAATGACCCTGATACTTTAAAAAAATGCTTGCTACTAGCTAAGTAGCATACACACTAAATTCTAGTTTTATCCTAGGGAAAAAAAGAATTGTTATGGAGGGAGCTAAAGGCTTGCGTGTGCAACAGGGGAGGAGCCAGGTTTGGGGTACAGAACACAATACAAGAGATTGAGTTCACACGCAGGGAAAAGAAAAGCCAGAAGCCAGAGTCTTGGGAAAAGAGGTTAGGTAGTGATCAGAGAAAATGAAGGGTCTAGCACCCTGGAAGTCATTCAAAAGATATTTATGAGACAGCAAAAGGGCAAACACTGCATTAGACTGTGGTATACAGCAGTGAGTCTACTTACAGTCTAGCAGGGAACCTAGTCATACAGTGGATGCAAAACAATTGGGAGGAAAATCATGAACAAGAGAGTGCTGTGAAGATAACGAGTTAAAATGTATGTTCCACAGCCTGGTGAGGACTGCTTGGAATGAGGCTGTACTGTGAGTTACTGACAACTAAGAGATAGTTAAGTCAAGCAAAAGACTTTATTTCACTGATAAAGAATGAATTCAGGGGAATAAAACAGTATCAATCAAGACAAAAAGTATTGTGTGCAGTGAACTCTATCAATCCCTAGGAGAGAATCCCAGACCAATATGGCCAGAGATAAAACCCTTCCACATCACCATTATCCATCATAATTAACCCTTCCATACTTCCATCATCCAACATAGATGATTCTTCCACACCCCTATCATCCAGCACAGCTGACCCTTCCATACCTCATCATCCAACTCAACTGACCCCTCTACACCCCATCATCTTGTTGGGGAACCCTGCTGTTAAGGTTGGCTGCTTTCTCAGCAGGGAACCTCCTGCTCTCTTCCTGACTTACCTGGAAAGTAAGCACAGATGCCTGACCTTATTTAGAACATGACCTTTGGCATAGTTACCTGGAGTAAAAACGACCCCCAGGTTTTTTCTATATGATAATTAGGCATTGCCCGATAGTCGGATGATAGGAGCCTACTGCCACATGTAAATAAAGCATACTATGAGCACCTATCAGCTGAAGCATTGGCTACTGCCTCCACACTATATTTTCCCCAACCCCCACTGAATAAACTGAGCTGTTTCATTGAATCTGGAGCTGTTTCACTGAGTCTGGAGCTGTTTGTATTACTGAACCTGCCTCCCCGGAAGGGCTTTCTTCCATCAGTGCTCACTGGCCGTCCTGACCCTGTTCGTTGCTTCTGCTCCCTTTGTCCTCGTGGACCGGTGGCCAATGACTCATGAGGGGAGGGAGAAACCTCACATCATCTAACACAGCTGACCCTTCCACAGCTCCAACATCCAACACAGCTGACCCTTCCACACCCCAGCTCCATCATCTAACACAGCTAACCCTTCCACACTCCATTATCTAACATAGCTGACCCTTCTACACCCCATCATCCAACACAGCTGACCCTTCCACAGCTCCATCATCCAACACAGCTGACCCTTCCATAGCTCCATCATCCAACACAAGCTGACCCTTCTACACCCCATCATCCAACACAGCTGACCCTTCCACACCCCAGCTCCATCATCTAACACAGCTGACCCTTCTACCCCCATCATCCAACACAGCTGACCCTTCCATAGCTCCATCATCCAACACA